TCCTGCTGATCTATTAAAAAATCTTGAGGGAACTTATTTTATCTACATAAAATACTCATTTTGCAGCCTCACAATTACCTTGTCTCGAGTTCCATTCTTTGACTTTATAGATGAAATGCCTTATAAAGAGAGCCATTTAGCATTTTAGTAAGTAAACTCTCCTTGTGTGTTCAAGATGGGATCAGCTTTTTACTGAATTTGCAGTATAGAGTTTCTAGGCCATTAAACAATGGATGGTTTAACTATGACAATGGCAATATAATTTTAAAGGATTTTTTTAACATATTTTTAATTGGACAGTTTTGAAAGTATATCTTGGGCAGCTATGTCCATATTTTGGACTGTTAACTTTGTAATATTTAAACACCTACAAATGCCCAGTGTGCCAAATACAGTATGAACTTCTAAGTGGGGAAGAAAAATGAGCCCGTCTTCCATCTCTTTCATATCACTGCCTGCTTTGCCTAGGGGGCTTGGGATAGATTTCCTATAAGTGGTAAGTAAACTGGAATCTCTGGAGGAAGTGGAAAGCTGAATACTTGTGTCCATGTAAAGTACAGATATTGGTATAACTTTTTCTTCAACAGAGTTGGGTAACGCTCTTCTCCTTATATTGGTTTTTTGACTTAAATAACATCTTTTCTGGTAAATGTAAATATGAAATTATAGAATTACCATACTAAGTTCCAGTTAGAAGGGCTTAGAAACAGCTAGTCCAGATACCTCATGCTACAGCTGGGGAAGGTGAGGTCTGAACAGACACTTACTCAGATCACGTCCTTAGCAGTAGCAGAGCTGGTGTCAGAACCTGGGTCTTGTGGCTTCCAGACTTGAGATTTTGGTTTTGAAAACTAAATGTAAGCAATTTCAAGTTTCTGCCTGATGCTTAATTTTGAATGTAAAAAAAGTCACCAAAATGGCAATATTCTGATACTTGAGTATCTTCATTCCTTTCCAGGATTTTTGAAATAAATTCTTCACCATGTATATTATGTGTTTTACTTCTTAGGGTGTTTATATACTGGATTTAATTTCTTTTTTTCTTGTAGGAGAAGCTAACCTTCCTTCATACCTTGTATCAGCACTTGATAGCAGGCTCTGTGCTCATGAAGCAACCAGAAGGCATGCTGGATAAATTCTCTTGGTCTGAGCTTTGTGCAGTTTTGCAGGAGAATGTTGATGCCCTGATCGTAGACCTCAACAGGGCTAATGAGAAGGTAACTGTCCTTAGGCACCAGATACCTCTATTAAATTCAGTGACATTTGTCCACATCACAGTATCATTAAGAGGGGCTGACATTCATCTTATTTCAAAAAGAATTTGGGTGTTAATAATTCAATACCATTAATTATGGCTTGTCTACAACTCAGTTTGATGCCATTGCTATGGGCATGTAAATGTGACTGAAGTCTGTATGAAGTCTCTGAGCTCCACTTTCTGTTCAGGACATGCTAATACCGCTAGCCAGTGTTAGCCACAGGGACCTAATTAAAAGAAAATAAATTAATCTTACTGATGAAGCAATTCAAAGAACTTAGTCATTTACATTAATAAACCAACACTTTATGTTAGCATAAAATAGAAACAAGATACAGTTATTCAAAACATGATCTTGAAATTCTTTGCTCAGGAAATAACGAGGTGTTACTTTAAAAGCACTTAAAATTTAAAACTTATGTTTATGGTGTTTCTTGTAATATAACAAACTGTATATTGCAGAACCCATTCAGTGCTTTAGAATGTAAGAAGGATATATTGTAGGAGAAAGCAGTAGACTCTTATGGTGCCTTTATCATTCACAAACCTAGGAATTCAGTCTTTCCAAAAAAAAATTTTAAAACCTCGTTTTGGTTATTGAAAATGAAAGTGGCTTAGCAGTCCAATGTATTCCTCCATTTAAGGTATTGATTCTTATCCCAGGTCTATTGAACTAGTCAGAACTATATTTATGTGATCTAGTTTCCAGATCTTAGTTGCAGTGACATTTGCTCTTAAGGGACACAGAGAGAAAAGCTGTTCCCTAAGTTTTTTTTTTCATTACTTCGGTTGAAGTAATCAGCATCTCGGCCCAGTTTTAGAGTAAGAGCATTTTGTCTTAGCCCGATTGGCAAACAATCATAGGCACTGAGAAGTAGGATTGAGGAAATGAGGGAATAAATTGTGAGAAGTGGAGATGCTGTTCTTGATTGTGACTATGTGTATAATGGATGTGAAAAGTACTGATAATGAAAATGAATGCATGTTTTAATCCTCTGAGATGGTATTGTGTTTTAATAGTTTTTCATAGTTTCACACATCATTAATTGTCATACACGTTAGATGATGAGGATTTTCTCTCCAGTGTTTTGAATGTGAAATAAAAAATGGTTGGAACATTCTGCTTTATTATATGTAAAATGTTTGTAGATTTGTAAATCTCATTTAAATACTTCCTTTCCCATTGAGATAGCTGAACAGTTTGAGCTTTGGTTCTAGAGGTTAAAATATTCTTCTTAATTTTCTCAGTAAAATTGATTATAGAATAAGTAACTTTATTCGAGAAAAAGAATAGTTGTCATCTATACATGCAATTCACACATTTTCTGCTAAAATATAATTTTGTTCTACTAATTCCTGTTTCTTAATTTTTTTTTTCATTTTAACTTAAAATTTTTATATGATCTTAAGGAATAAAATGTAGTAGAAAATTCTGGAATAGCTTTTGGGGGAGATGATACAAAGGACTTGTTTGTGAGCCTATCTTATTTGTTGCATTTCCCCATTTAGATAAGTCATCTAGAGTATATCTGTAAAAACAAGTCTGATACGATGAGAGAGCTTCAGCAAACCCAGGAAGACACCTTTAACAAAGTGGCAGAGCAGATCAAAGCCCAGGAGAGCTGCTGGCACAAGCAAAAGAAGGAACTGGAGCTGCAGTACTCCGAACTCCTCCTGGAGGTACAGAAGAGGGCACAGGTATGCTGCTTCCACAGAGAGCTTCAAAATGGAATGCTCAGTCTTTTACTTACAAGTGTTTTCTTTCAGTACCCATGGCAAGTCAGTTACAACTTTGGAGAACCACACGGAACTTGCTTGTTAGGTACACATACATGTGATCATGCAAACACACACACACACACACAAATGGGCCTGTGTGCACTCCGGCGTATTACGGATTGTCTTTTATTTAAGTTTGGAAGTAGATGGGTTTCTGGTTAAAACATCCTAGAATATGTGGATCAGTTAAATACTAAAATTGTATTTCCCTTATTTTAGAAATAAAGGTTAAGAAACTTTGGTAAAAATATTGTCTGTTTTAGTGTAGATATCCTTTGATCCAGCTTATTCCATTCCTGGGGGTTTCTATGTGAACCATCATTTTAATTCATGTGGGGTTGAAATTTGTCATACCTCCTAAAATTGTTGAAGGACTAGAGTTGTAGTTGTAGACCCTGTAGCAAACTATTGTCTGTGAGATATAATATGTCCTCTATGTTGGATTCGATTGAGAACAGAAATTATGGGTAGTTAACAGAACCATATTTTTTTCCAGTACAAGATATTGTCAACATAATTTATATGGTTAACCGTCATCCCTGCCCAATGAGGAATAACAAAGATAGTGTGTACTTTTTTTTGTATTGAATTTAATAATAGGTCACTTGTTCTCAAGCTAAGATACTTAGAAACCAGAAGGCTCTATATTTTTCCCATACTTGATTCAGTATATATCTTCTTTATTTGATCCACTCATGCTTATCTTGGCAAGTCTAATTAAAAAAGGAAACCACATCTTATTTTACTTTATTTTTATTTATTTATTTTGTTGTTCACTTAAAATTTTTTTTCCTTTTTCTTTTTCTTTTGAATTTTATTTATTTATTTTTTATACAGCAGGTTCTTATTGGTTATCCATTTTATACATATTAGTATATACATGTCAATCCCAATCTCCCAATTCATCCACCAACATCACGCCTCCCCCCCCCCCCCTTTCCCCCCTTGGTGTCCGTACATTTGTTCTCTGCATCTGCGTCTCTATTTCTGCTTCGCAAACCGGTTCATCTTTGCCGTTTTTCTAGATTCCACATATATATGTTAATATACAATATTTGTTTTTCTCTTTCTGACTTACTTCACTCTGTATGACAGTCTCTAGGTCCATCCATGTCTCTGCAAATGACCCAATTTTGTTCCTTTTTTATGGCGGAGAAATATTCCATTGTATACGTGTACCACATCTTCTTTATCCATTTGTCTGTTGATGTCATTTAGGTTGCTTCCATGACCTGGCTATTGTAAATAGTGCTGCAATGAACACTGAGATGCATGTGTCTTTTTTTTTTTTTGCTTGTTTGTTTGTTTTTTTGCGGTACGCGGGCCTCTCACTGCTGTGGCCTCTCCCGTTGCGGAGCACAGGCTCCGGACGTGCAGGCTCAGCGGCCATGGCTCACGGGCCCAGCCGCTCCCCCGCAAGTGGGATCTTGCCGAAACGGGGCACGAACCCGCGTCGCCTGCATCGGCAGGGGGGCTCTCAAGCACTGCGCCACCAGGGAAGCCCTGCATGTATCTTTTTGAATTATGGTTTTCTCAGGGTATACGCCCAGTAGTGGGATCGCTGGCTCATATGGTAATTCTAGTTTTAGTTTTTTTTTTTTTTTCTTGCGTTATGCGGGCCTCTCATTGTTGTGGCCTCTCCCATTTGCGGAGCACAGGCTCCGGACGTGCAGGCTCAGCGGCCATGGCTCACGGGCCCAGCCGCTCCCCCGCAAGTGGGATCTTGCCGAAACGGGGCACGAACCCGCGTCTCCTGCATCGGCAGGCGGACTCTCAAGCACTGCGCCACCAGGGAAGCCCTATTTTTAGTTTTTAAGGAACATCCATACTGTTCTCCATAGAGGCTGTATCAATTTGCATTCCCACCAGCACTGCAAGAGGGTTCCCTTTTCACCACACCCTCTCCAGCATTTATTGTTTGTAGATTTTTTGATGATGGCCATTCTAACTGGTGTGAGGTGATACCTCCCTGTAGTTTTGATTTGCATTTCTCTAATGATTAGTGATGTTGAGCAGCTTTTCATGTGCTTCTCGGCCATCTGTATGTCTTCTTTGGAGAAGTGTCTATATAGGTCTCCAGCCCATTTTTTAATGGGGTTGTTTGTTCTTTTAATATTGAGCTGCATGAGCTGTTTATATATTTTGAAGATTGATCCTTTGTTGACTCGTTTGCAAATATTTTCTCCCATTCTGAGGGCTGTCTTTTCGTCTTGTTTGTAGTTTCCTTTGCTTGGCAAAAGCTTTCAAGTTTCATTAGGTCCCATTTGTTTATTTTTGTTTTTACTTCTAGGAGGTGGGTCAGAAAAGGTCTTGCTGTGATTTACATGAACCAGTGTTCTTCCTATGTTTCCTCTAAGGGTTTTATAGTGTCCGGGCTTATATTTAGGTCTGTAATCCATTTTGAGTTTATTTTTGTGTATGGTGTTAGGGAGTGTTCTAATTTCATTGCTTTACGTCTAGCTGTCCAGTTTTCCCAGCATCACTTATTGAACAGGCTATCTTTTCTCCATTGTATACCCTTGCCTCCTTTGTCATAGATTAATTGACCATAGGTTGCGTGGGTTTATCTCTGGGCTTTGTATCCTGTTCCATTGATCTATATTTCTGTTTTTGTGCCAGTACTATATTGTCTTGATGACTGTAGCTTTGTAGTACAGTCTGAAGTCAGGGATTCTGATTACTCCAGCTCCGTTTTTTCCCTCAAGACTGCTTTGGCTATTTGGGGTCTTTTCTGTCTCCATACAAATTTGAAGATTTTTTGTTCTAGTTCTGTAAAAAATGCCATTGGTAGTTTGATAGGGATTGCTTTGAATCTGTAGATAGCTTTGGGTAGTATAGTCATTTTCACAATGTTGATTCTTCGAATCCAAAAACATGGTATATCTCTCCATCTGATTGTGTCATCTTTGATTTCTTTCATCAGTGTCTTATAGTTTTCTGAGTACAGGTCTTTTACCTCCTTAGGTAGGTTTATTCCTAGGTATTTTATTCTTTTGTTGCAATGGTGAATGGGAGTGTTTCTTTAATTTCTCTTTCTGATCTTTTGTTGTTGGTGTATAGGAATGCAAGAGATTTCGGTGCATTAAATTTGTATCCTGGAATCTTACCAAATTCATTGATTAGTAGTAGTTTTCTGGTGGCATCTTTAGGGTTCTCTATGTATAGTATCATGTCATCTGCAGTGACAGTTTACTTCTTTTCCAATTTGGATTCCTTTTATTTCTTTTTCATCTCTGAATGCTGTGGCTAAAACTTCCAAAACTATGTTGAATAATAGTGGTGAGAGTGGGCCACCTTGTCTTTTTCCTGATCTTAGAGGAAATGCTTTCAGTTTTTCACCATTGAGAATGATGTTTGCTGTGGGTTGTCATATATGGCCTTTATTATGTTGAGGTAGGTTCCCTCTATGCCCACTTTCCGGAGAGTTTTTATCATAAATGGGTGTTGACTTTTTTCCAAAGCTTTTTCTGCATCTATTGAGATGATCATATGGTTTTTATTCTTCAATTTGTTAATATGGTTTACCATATTTGATTTGATTGATTTGAGTATATTGAAGAATCCTTGCATCCCTGGGATAAATCCCACTTGATCATGGTGTATGATCCTTTTAATGTGCTGTTGGATTCTGTTTGCTAGTATTTTTTTGAGGATTTTTGCATCTATATTCATCAGTGATATTGGTCTGTAATTTTCTTTTTTTGTGACATCTTTGTCTAGTATTGGTATCAGGGTTATGGTGGCCTCATAGAATGAGTTTGTGAGTGTTCCTTCCTCTGCAATTTTTTGGAAGAGTTTGAGAAGGATGGGTGTTAGCTCTTCTCTAAATGTTTGATAGAATTCACCTGTGAAGCCATCTGGTCCTGGACTTTTGTTTTTTGGAAGATTGTTAATCACAGTTTCAATTCCATTACTTGTGACTGGTCTGTTCATATTTTCTATTTCTTCCTGGTTCAGTCTTAGAAGGTGATACTTTTCCAGGAATTTGTTCATTTCTTCCAGGTTGTCCATTTTACTGGCATAGAGTTGCTTGTAGTAGTCTCTTAGGATGCTTTGTATTTCTGTATTGTCTATTGTAACTTCTTTTTCATTTCTCATTTTATTGATTTGAGTTCTCTCCCTCTTTTTCTTGATGAGTCTGGCCAATGGTTTATCAATTTTGTTTATCTTCTCAAAGAACCAGCTTTTAGTTTTATTGATCTTTGCTATTGTTTTCTTTGTTTCTATTTCATTTATTTCTGCTCTGACCTTTATGATTTCTTTCCTTCTGCTAACTTTGGGTTTTGTTTGTTCTTCTTTCTCTAGTTCCTTTAGGTGTAAGGTTAGATTGTTTACTTGAGATTTTTCTTGTTTCTTGAGAAAGGATTGTATTGCCATAAACTTCCCTCTTAGAACTGCTTTTGCTGCATTCCATAGGTTTTCGATCGTCATGTTTTCATTGTCATTTGTCTCTAGGTTTTTTGTTTTGTTTTGTTTTGTTTTTGTGGTACGTGGGCCTCTCACTGCTGTGGCCTCTCCCATTGCGAGCACAGGCTCCGCATGCACAGGCTTATCCGCCATGGCTTACGGACCCAGCGGCTCTGTGGCATGTGGGATCCTCCCAGACCGGGTCATGAACCCACGTCCCCTGCATCGGCAGGCGGACTCTCAACCAATGCGCCACCAGGGAAGCCCTCTAGGTATTTTTTGATTTATTCAGTGGTCTCTTGGTTATTTAGTAACGTATTGTTTAGCTTCCATGTGTTTGTGTTTTTTACATTTTTTTTCCCTGTAATTAATTTCTAATCTCATAGCGTTGTGTTCAGAAAAGATGCTTCATATGATTTCCATTTTCTTAAATTTACCGAGGATTTTTTTGCGACCCAAGTTGTGATCTGTCCTGGAGAATGTTCCATGTGCACTTGAGAAGAAAGTATATT